GGTTTTTCTGATATTTTATAATCAGTGAATGCTAATATCGAAGTAATAGTGATAGTATAGTAACTTTTGATATTCTTTTTTGAATTTTTTAAAATAAGTTATTGTTTACGTCGCATGTAGACAATGTGTAGACAAATGCCCACGTAAACAATTCGAATTGTCTACGCGTAGACCAAGAATATCACTTTTTTACGTTGACATTGTCTACAGGCACATCACTGGTTTTTGGTAATGGCCGCCATATTGGTGTATCACCATTGTCGACGTCATCAACTAAGTCGTCAGTGACAGCGACGTCAACTGTTTGCGCCAGCGATCGTAGAATTTAAGTTTATGATGAAAAATATTTGATCAAGATCAAGAGTAATGCCCGTATGCACCATTGCACAAATTCTCTGATTAAGACTTTAGCCGTGATCACAAAATATTTTTCATATGCACCAAGCGTTTTTTTCGCCTATTGGCAATTAACTTTAAATTGCTCGATGGCCTGGAATTTAGAACAAGATAACCGCGGCTAGTTAATAAAATGAGGTTAGGTGTTTTGTTTGTTTTGGTTCCGATTTCAAATTTCATATTTACATTTTACAAACATTTTTGTAAAAAAAAAACTGGAACAAATTTGTGTGAAGTGAGCCAGGAAAAAAAAAAGAACTGAAATCAGGAATATGGAGGTGGAGAGACATTATTTGACAATGATTAATTTGGATAATGAAATTGTGTTAGATGGGTTTCCGTTTCCAAGGCGTTGGAATGAGAGGGAAAATTATTTTATTTTCAACCACATATGTAATGTTGACATTGCAGGTTTTTCAAAATCTTGAAAGTGTCACATTTCTGGACTTTGACATTTATCGGGACGGTAATGCATATGCCTGCCTAGGACGGAAAAGCATTTTCCGTCCGGGACGGCAAATGCTTTTCCGTCCCCATTTCCCTGCTCGTTCCAAATTGATAATTTTCATACAGCTCTCACATATAATAATAAAACCACATGTATTACATGGAACTAATTAAATCTATTCACTTATTTACATTAATTGTTAAATTAGCATTGTTGTTTATAATGGAAATCTTGAGACCATCCTGTTGGAATTGTGTTTCGTTTGGAACTATTATCTCTTGCGCTTGCGGATGAGTTTCCGCATGTGATGTACTTGTGGATGCACTGGACAACTGAATACCTTTGGAAGTAGAGGATAGCATCAGAGCAGTCTTACTTTTGTTCTCCAAAGATGCCTCTATGTAGCCTTCAGCAACCGTGCTCGATTTCCACCCTCCCAGTCTTTTGAGTTGCAATAGATCGGCCCCGTTGTCAACCAATAAGGTTGCGGAAGTACGACGAAAAGCATGCCCTGTAAAAGTTTCAATTTTTGGAAGCTTCAAAAAAGCAGCTATTTTATGTGGAAATTTTGAGATTGAATGATAGCCAATTGCTTGGTTATGTAATTTCCCATTTCGCCATTGAACAAATAACCTGTCATTTTTCAAATTTTTCCGCAAAGTGAGGTATTTGTGGAAAATAGCAACCCAATCTGGATCGCTTATGATAAACGATCGACTTGTGTAAGTTTTTGTGTGTGGAATTTCTATAGCGATCTTTCCTTCCAAAACGTTGACGTGCTCCATTTTCATCTTGACTAGTTCATCGCTCCTACATGCACCCGACACACCAACAATTAGCGCTACCTGAAACCAGATAAAAATAAAATGGGTAACCTAGCTATCTATAGCATACAGAAAATCATTTTGATTTTCGCATTTTTATCTTCTTTGTATATTTTTTGAAAACCTACCTTGATGCTAATGAATTCTTCAGCTGCCTTCGTGAGGAACTCGTTAATGTTTTCTCTGGAAAAAACGCTCGACTTTTTCGGCTGAAAGCCCAGATTTTGCCGCTTCAAAAAAGCTATAAGTTTTGCGTAATTGGAGATATCAACTTTCTCTTTCAATTTAATCATGGTTTTCAACATACTGTAAGTCGACCATAAAGTCGAAGGCTTCTTTTCCTTAGATAATTCGCCAAAATACGCCAACAAAACGGTCTCCGAGGCAGTATTTCTCGTTCCTTTCTGGCTACACCATGCTTCGAATATTTGAAAAGCCTTTTCGTACCGAAATTTGCTTTTTGCTGGAAGCAAACTCTCTCCAATCCTGTCTGCTGCTTCTTTTAATTCAGGTGGGGTACAATCCATCGCTTCATCTTCACTTTCCGAAATCATTTCTTTGGGGAGAACGGGGAGAAATCTAGTGAAAATCTATTATTTCCGCAAAAATACTGAGCGAAAACTACCGTCGTTAAGGCGTTGTTGATCTTATCTATGGTTGTTGATTTTGCGGTTTCCTGTGGTTTCGTCTTTTGTTTTGGCCTTTACAGGGCCTTTGAGATCGTCAAAATTGATGACAAATTGACAAAAAAAGTGAAATATTTTTTTCTAAGGCCAGTTTTACACTATATGAAAATTTCGTATAACAGAATCTTTAGTTTTTGCATCAGAAAATTAAGGGTTGAAAATAAAAAAGTATACAAACCTCGACGGAAAACTTCATTTCTGTCTCGAGGTTGAGTTTATCTCGACGCTTCGCGTCTCGATAAACTATAATAACCTCTCGACCAGCAATGAAGTATTTTCCGTCTCGGATTGTAATATACTATTGAAGCCTTGGATGATCTGATCTAGGTATAAGCCAATGTCGTAGATCATAGATCTTCTTGAAGAGGTAGAAGAATCCCTATCATTATTATAGGATGTAGTACCTACATTCTATGCAAATTTATGACTTGATTCTTGATTCCAATAACTAGGTAATGACTATGTAATTACTGTTTATTTCAAATAAAATGCCCTACATGCCTTGGATGTTTTGTTTGTTTGTTTATAAAATTAAAATTCATCGACAAAAACGCAGAATGGGTCTCGCCAACCCCACATACCGCCAACCCAAAATGGGCTTTTATTGCCTTTTATTAAAATCTATAGGAAATTTGCGACGTTATCGGTGAGTTCCTTTCAGGTGGCCCTCATTACAAAATCACAATTAACTAATTTGAGTGCAAAATCCTTTGGTGCATCGAACCGACATTTTTACCGTGATTACATAATTATCCGTGATTAGCTAATAACGAAAATAGGTGAAAATGGTGAATAGTATGAGGAGCTCCGGAACAGCTCCGGGCATAGAGGCTCCGGGGCGTTACGCGCTTATTCCTTCCGAAAAGTGTTTGTTGCACCTGAGTACTCAAGCCCAAAGTAAACCATAAATGCACGAAAGTCGGCGAATCTGTTCCTTTCAAATCGGGTTGACACACCGGAGCGAGTAGCTCTAGTGTTTCAAACTCTTGAAAGGAATACAGCTACATACTGGAAAGCAGCTTTATATCCTATCGGCGGTTCACTCTCGTACTCTATCCGTTCCAGCGGCCGCACCGGTGCGGCGTGATCCCGACAATCCGGAGCCGTTGATCGAAACGAGTCTGTCGGTGTAATGTACTCCGTTTCTGAATCTGTGTCCCTACTCCGAGTCCACACTTTTTCCTGTTCCACTGGCCGATTAGTTCGAGTTTGACTCCGAGTCCGTACAACGTAGACAACGCAAAAGTGGTCCGGACTTGAACTCGAACTTGGACCGGACCTGTTTATTTTGCAGTGGATCAGTTCCCACTGTGAAGATCAGTTCCAGTATTTGGCCCTGATAATAGCCAATTTTGGGTTGGCGAGACCCGCGAGACCCCATATCTGCGTTTTTTTCGATGAATAAATTTTAGGTATACAGTATACACAAACAAACAAAGCATCCTGGGCATTTTATTTGAAATAAACAGTAATTACCGTAATACATACATAGTCATTAGTTACTGGAATCAAGCCATAAAATTGCATATAAATACTACCACCCTATCATAAGTTAAGTTAGGGCATCTTCCACCTCTTCAGGAAGATCTACGACTATTGGTTTATAAGATCATCCATCCCAGGCTTCAAAATAATTTTCCGTCTCATTCCAACGCGTTGGAAGCCCATCTAACACAATCATTATTTATCAGTATCCAAATCCTCGTCAAATAATAGGTGGTCCATCTCCATATTCCTTATTTGATTTCTCCCTGCTCACCCTCGCCACACACACGTTTTCCAGTAATTTTTTGGGGACAAAAATGTTTTTAAAATGTAAAAACAAAACAAAACATTCTAACCTCATTTCATTATAGCCGCGGTTATCCTAAATTCCAGGCCATCGAGCGATTTAAGTTAATTGCCGATTAGGCGAAAAAAACGCTTGGTGCATACGAAAAATATTATGTGATCACGGCTAAAGTTTAATCAGAGAATTTGTGTAATGGTGCATACCAGGCAAATGCAAAATCCTTTGGTACATCGAATCGACTTTTTTAACCGTGATTACATAATTAGCCCTGATTAGCTAATTAAGAAAATACCTGAAAATGGTGCATACAGGCATAATAGTATTATCCTTGGTTTTTACGCCAGCGCAGCAGAACTGTCAACTATACGTCAAATATTCCAAAACAAAAGAGATGCAGCAGAAGCGCAAATGCGCGAAGCTGCCATGACAGCAAAATAAGCTGTGCTAGAAGTGTCCTGAAATAGTACATTAAAATACAAGTTTCATAAGACATCATTTTATCGCACGAGCCCTATAGTAGAAAACGAGCCGGAGGCGAGTTTTCTAAAGGGCGAGTGCGATAAATTGTCTTATGAAACGAATATTTTATACTATTTTTTCTATTTTGGTATTGTTTAATTTAGAAAAAAAACTTTTCTTGGAAATTTTATTCTCATATTTCCTGATTTCATATGTTTAGGTTGGTAACACTACATGCCAAATATAGAAATCTTCTATTATTTTTTTATAGTGAATGACAGTTCGATGGCCATCAGTCAGCCAGTGTTACCAACCTCCGATAAGTGAAAAAGGAGTGTCACAAAGAGTTTCTTTTCGAAACTACTTTTAGTGTCGAAAAGACTTCGATATGACACCAAAATAGAAAAAATAAAATATCAAATTTCAAATAAATAATGATTTTAAATTATTTGTAAAACTTTAAAGGCCTGCAGTTTTAATTGAAATTTTATGATATCATCAAGCGTTCGTTCCGTAGAAACCTAGGATTAGTGATATTTTTGACATATTGGAGTCTCACGACAGCTGCTTTCGTAGGTAATTTTTATGAGGAAAAACCAGAATATTTGTAGAAAACGTTAAACTAGGTCATTATTTTTTGTTCGCCAATATGGGAGAATCCAAGGAAAAACTTATAACTGCTGTTAAGCATTATCAGGACAGTTTGGAGAGGCACACCAAAACTGGGAATGTCGACAAAGTAAGGGATGGGTTTGGTTCCACACATTTTGATCATTTTGTAGCGATAATTACCCTCCGTAGTTTTTTTATTAATTTACGTCTAGAATTGTTTTTCAGATTCATAAATAAAATAACCTTGTACTTTTGTCATTGTTCAGTTTATAAATCAAGTAGATAATTAATTTGTTTATAATTAAGAGGTTTTTACTAGAAAATCCATCATACATTTAATTAGACAAATAAATTATTTATCAAAGGATACTTTGAAAAAGTTAAGGCAATTCCCAACTGCTTAAAAATTAATTCTTGTTGCCAGCTGTATTGTTTTTGATGTAAATTATTGTAGCAATGTTTTTGTTCATTTAGAATTATTAAATTTCACTCACATTATGGTTGCAGTAAACATACTCTCAATTTAATTTATACATTATAATAATTAATCTTTTCTATTTAGCTACTTCATGCAATTGAGAAACTTGCAAAGCTTCCCATCAAAGTATGTCATTTAGAAGAAACTGGAGTAGGACGTACTGTTAATGGACTTAAAAAATTTGAAGGTAACAATATCTTTTTAGAATGTTGGGAAATACCTATAAAGGGAATTTTCTATAGGCTCAGTTGGAGAAAATGCCAGAGGCCTGGTCGACAAATGGAAAAATATGGTCAAGGGAGAAGAAGAGGAAGAGGAACGAGCCAGGTTAGAGAACAAACAGGAAATGCAGGAGGAGGAGGAGGAAGATGAAGAAAATGATACTTCCCATGAAGGTAAGAGTTGGAAACCTTTTTGCTCATCTTTTTTGTAAAGATATGAGATACTTTACACTCATTAATCAACAATAAAAACAAATATTTGTTTTGTATGCGTGGTTTCATATTGTTTGCTCCATTTGCATTTTTAATTGATTGAATATTTTTTGGTCATATTCTAGTACAGGGTGATCTATTATAAATGTCACCCCCTCCTAACTTTTTTATTTGATGTTTTTGACAGAAGTGTCAAATACAAAAGTTTTAAGGCGGCGTTCCGTTTCTTAACCAGAGTTACCGATCGGTATGAAGCGGTTCGTCTATCGTGAGAGTCTGGTTTCTGAAAATACTGCTTAGGTGTGGAACACTTCGGTTCAGCTTTGGTTTGGCTTGGATGCTTGATGATAGAATATTGTTCTCTTAAAAATATATCTTTAGTAAGAAATCAACATGAATGAATGTGATATTTACCTTTTGTTCCATTTGCACCGCAAATACACTTCGAAAGCGGAAGAAAAATGAAAAAATTGAAAAATTATCACCTAACCTAACAAACAAATGTCAGAAATTGAAAACTAACTGAAACAACCAAAGCTTTTTGATCGGTAGACCACAGCCCCCTACATTTAACAAGCCATGAAGTTAAAAAGGCAACACCGCAATCTTACCGCCAAGTGGTGCTGGTGGTGTTTGTTTGTGTAAATATATATTTTTTATTTTATTAATATGAATCACAAAAAATACATAATTTATTGTACTAAAGGGCCAAAAACAGTAATTCAATGAATAATTTAACTATTTGTGTAAATAAGAACAGTAAATAATTGATTTAAATGAATATATTTCTAGAGTCTAAAGTGTTATAGGCCTATGTTTCAGTATGTCTTTTGAAAATCTAACTTTTTCTTTCTTCGGGATTTTTTCGGAAGGCAAGTCCATTCAAATACTTGAGCTGATTTTCGAAAATAAGAGGTACCTGGTACCTACTTTTAAGAGTTGGACGTTTTAGTTTGAACTCTCGAACTACGCCTTTATCCTTGTTTGTTTCAAATCTAATTATTTCGGTTTCTTCAAAATGTTTACAACACACCACAGAATTTTTCGTTATTGTATAATCTCGGGTATAATTATCTTGGTGTATTGCTTTCATCCACATTTTTTGCACTTCAGAATTTTTTTGGAAATAAAAATGTTTGCATTTCTTCAGTTTTTAAGGAACTCCTAATAGTTCGATTTGCACCCAGGAACACAGTAGTTTCATGGCATCTGGAACAAGTTTAAATATCTTAGGTAATATATCGAGACCTATGCTCTTGCAGACAAATATTAATATTGTTTTTATTGTTTTACCTTACCTTACCTTCATTTTTGCTCCTGTACCCATTTGCTAAAAATTTGCAATCAAAGCACAAAGGAACAGGTATCAACTAAATATGGGCAATATATTGGTGTGTTTCTATCCACTTTTTCGTCAATAATGCCTATAAAAATACTAAATTGCAACAATACACAATGAAAGCAATACACAGAAACACATAACCCAATAACAAAATAGCACCATACGCGACGTTGCCGTCATTTCCAATTTCATGGCTTGTTAACTATAGGAGGCTGTGGGTAGACCAATGAACTATAACCAAAAACTGGAATGCTAACACATAAGGACGAACTTGAAGCCTAGTGTGACTGCTGCGGAGGGGATACCTGTTTTTGTCGCACTCATTATGTTAAATGGCGAAAATTGCTTCCAACACGTATTCCAATTGATGAAACCTGTGATGGGAAATATGACAAAACTTTCGAAAACGTCATATGTCAGCGAGCAACAGAAAAAAACAACATTCCCCCTTGTGGCATCTGTCTTTCATGGCTTCATTTTTTTGGCAGATATGGCAATGTGTGCGCATTCCAGTTTTTAGCTATAGTTCATTGGGGTAGACTCACACATAACCTCAATGACATGTTTGTCCCCCTATCGAAAGTCACGTTATGTCATTGGTGACAAGCTAGTGCCTGTGTGTTAAATGGACCTTTCAGACGCTTTGTTTGTCCCCCCAACGGAAGTGAGGTTATGTATGTGACGTCAGCTAGTGCCTAATTAAGTCAGTTTTAGTCATACAGAGTGCGTTTAAAAATTGTAGCAAAGCGATGTTGTATTTTTCTGAATGGAACACTATGTACAGGGTGTCCCACTAAGGTCGGCCAGGTACGATATTATGGAGACCATAGACCTCACGTAACTTGAAAACGAATGCAGATATTGAATTGCGGTTTTCGCCAAAATGTAGAAATTTTTTTGCTCTTTAAGCACAGCAATACAAAAATAATATTACGCCATTTGGATTTTTCATGAAAATTAGGAAAAACTGGATCTTGAATAAACAGCGCCCTCTAGCAGACGCGGTGGGAACTATCGACCTCGAACGACGTGGTGTTCTTAATAACAATGAAATTCTCTTCCAAATAAACCCAAATTGAATGAGTTTGAATTAGGGGTATGGAAGATACAGCAATTTCTAAAAAAAAATTTCACCAGCTTCCCCCACCCTTATTACTGAAGATACGAAAAAAAGCCTAAAAACCAAACTGGCGCAAAAATTAATGAACTTTTGATTTCTGTTGTTAAAACAGTATATTAATATAGCGATTTCTTGAGAAAAGTTGAATTTTTAGCTATATCATCGTAATTGCGCCCCTAGCGGTCATCCTAGAAACTTGAAAATAATTTCCATCAATTTCTCTTGGCCGATTTAGTGAAGAAAAAAAAAACTCGAAGTCGTAAGGTCTATGGTTTCCATAATATCGTACCTGGCCGACCTTAGTGGGACACCTGGTATACAGGGTCCCAACTATTTCATAGGGACAGCATTGATTATTATTATTATTATTAAATCCTTTATTTATCATAAAAATTGCTAGTTTACAATAGTACAGAATATATATATACAACTTGAAAAGTAACTAAGAAATAAAATGTAAAATAATTCATAAAATAAATAAACCAACAGAGCAAAACTTATCACAAACAATACAGTAATTTAAAAGTTATCACAGGATCAACCATCCAGTATGTCACAATTACTTAGCATATAAATTTTTAATCAAATTTCACAGTTTTAGCATTTTACAAAGCAAATCACATTACTAACAGAAACAATCAATCAATCAATCAATATAAACGGAAATCATAACAAAACAATTAAAAACATCCTTGCAAAATACAATTGTACAATAGGGAATTTTCATAAGAAATAAATATGGCTTATTTTGTTTTTATGGTGCACATTTTTGTGTAAAATATTGAATATGAGCAGTTTTGTATTAAATTTATGGATATTATAGTCATATGGCAATTATTAGTTTTAAATTGAAAAGTTTCGCGCGGAAAAGTTACGTTTAACATGGCCGCTTCCAGTGACGTCAACTGTTCGTAATTTGAGGTTAAGGGTAGTTTACACTGATCGTAAATCCACGGTCCACACTTTCGTGGTTCACTCTTGAATCGTGGAACGATTGGTCCACGATCAGCTCACGTCACGCCACGACTTATATTGAACCACCATAAACGGGTATATTGAGGGAAGATTGTCAGACTGCGCTTTTGTAAATCCTGTATCAACCATGATGAACTATTTGAATTACAAGATGTCACAATATGGCACTAAATACGGAAATACCTCATAAATAACTGCTTTCAAGTTTCAATGCAGTCGCAGGTTCAAGCTGAGCGATTCTTTCCGACAGTTTGCAAAGTGTTAAAGGTTCTTGTGAGAACAGACCTTATCGTTGTGTTTACAGACAGTTGACGTCACAAATGCCACCATCTTGAAGCTAATCGTTTTCGCGCCAACGAAAATAATTTGAAATTCAAAATAATTTTTTTATTTCAATGAGGACATAAAACAAAAAAAAACATATACATTTTATATTTGAAAACATAAGCAATAAGAAAAAAAAATACTTTGAAAAATATGATTGTTCCCTATTATTAAAATGGATAAAGACAAGAGTCAGAATGGACAAAATGGACAAAAACCTGCTCAAGATGTCTCGTTAAATGCACAAAGACTATGTTGACTTAGGAAACAAGATCATTTTCCCTAAGCAAAAACAATTTCAAATTTTTCTTGAAACCATTCAGAGATAAACTATTTTTAATATTATTAGGTAACTTATTAAAATCATCCAGACCTTTAAAAAAAACAGAATTTCCAGCAAGCTTTTTATTTCTACGTTGTATATAGAAGTTTTGCTGCTGCCTTGTATTATGACCGTGGACTTGGTTGTTAACTGTCAATTTGTTCTTTAAATAAGAGGGTGCATTACCTACTTTTATTTTGAAAATGAAAACTAAGACGTTGTACCAAAAAAATTCCTGCACAGGGAGCCATTGCAGTTGTCTAAGCATGGTCTTAATGGAGGTGTACTTATCACATGATAGTATTATTCTCATAGCGCGGTTTTGCATTTTCTGTAAGCGATTTATTTTATTTTGCTGCAACAAATACAAAATTGTTGCACAGTATGTAAATTGTGATAAAACCAATGCATTAAAAACTACCAATCTTGACCATCTTGATAAACTATGCGAACATTTGCTAAGGTGACTAATTCCATAGCTTACTTTTGAGATAGTTAAGTTGCAGTGCTCCTTAAATGACATTTTGTCGTCCATAACTACACCTAGATATTTAAAAAAATTTACACTAGCTAAAGCCTTGTCACCCATTACGATGTTATGTTGGTTTACCAGAAACAACTGTTTTATGCTTTCCTTTGCAATTACAATATACTTAGTTTGTTTTACTCTTGTTAACCTTAAGAAGATTTCTCTTGCAATACTGATCAATTTTCCCTAGAACAGTATTTATTTTAATAACTAAATGTTCAATGTTTTCAGAAGATCCATAAAGCAAGGTATCATCAGCGAAAAGATGTAACCCCAAATTATCCTCATCATTAACTACATTCACCATATCGTTCACATAAAGCACAAACAAAATAGGGCCCAACACACT